CTTTTATCAGTCCTCGGGCGAGAGTGGTGATTTAATGAATCGGAATCGGAGCTCGATGTCCTGAGGCTAGGCGGGCCGCCTCCCCGGGGAGATGGGCGTTGAGGCACATCTGTGGCTCTGGAAATACAACAGTTTATAAGAATCATAAATGAATTTGAAAAAACCTAACAATCAACAGAACAACTGAATGGAATACCTTGATCTTGGCATTATTTTCTCTCCAAATGAGAAACAACTGAATGGTTTGTTACAGAATGAAGTGAAAAAATCACTCAAATCTGCAGAATCACAATGAGGGAATCAGATAAAACTTGTAAAGTATGGAGCTTTTAATAACATCAGACATGCCACTGAAAAAAAAAAAAGCCTGTTTTTTTCTTCTTGAAAAACAATAAAAGGAAGCAACTTTATCACCCCCACTTACAGAAAACAAACCACACATCAATCAAGACTGTGAAAAGGTGTGCAAAGATAGATTATTTGCCTGAAAAAAAACACTTAAAGATTCACAAAGCTTTCATCTTTAAGGTAAACAGATCCTACAAACATCAAAAGAAAACCTTTTTCTAAACAAAAAAGCAGAGGTTGCTGCATTTTGTTCACTAACAGCAAATGTTGGCTAATTAAAAAAAAAAAAAAAACAAGAAACTTTACTTCATTATAAGTTATTCATTGGTCTCCAAGAAAACAGAAAACAAGAACAATTTTCAAGAACTCTGTACTTTAAATCACAGATCTAAACGCCCCCATCTCAAATTTATCTCATAATTTGAGTTTTGAACAATAATTCGTAAATAAAAAGTCATAAAAAACAGATTCCATTATCATAGAAAAAACCAGCGTAAAACAGCTTAATTAGATGAATTAATATGTTTCACTCACGTGAAGAAGAAGAAGAAGAGGCGCTTTCCACATATGAATGAGAAAAATGGATTTAAATTTGAGAGCAGTTGAATGACTTTTATGAACACGTGTGTGTTCGTGTGTGTGGACAATCTCTACTGTCAAACTATATCAATGTACTGTTTTTATATTGTTTCCACATTTTTTTTATCATTAAAAAATACATTTTACTCTCTTATTTTATTATTTACAACTTAACTAATATAAACTTGGGAGTCTTTTTTTAAAAATCCCTAAGGTATTGTTTGGTTAGGGGCAAAAGGAGGGGAGGGGAGAGGAGGGAAAGGGAGGGCTTTTTTTATTTTTTCTTTGTTTGGTTGGGATAAGTGGATAGGAGGGGAGGGAAAATTTTAACTTAAAATTCCCTCCCCTCTCTATTTTTGCTCCCCTTCAAAAATGGAGGAATTTGGAGGGAGGGAAAATTTTAGTACATAAAGTTACAATTTTACCTTTACTGAATATAATATTTTAGTTTTTTATTTCTAACATCATTAAGGATAAATTTGTCATTATAACATTATTTTCCTTTCCCTTCCATTTTTTAACCAAACAAGGTTTACCATTTTCCATTCATTCCCCTCCTACAAAATTCCTCCAAACAAGGTAAAATTATTTTACATCATCTCCCCTCCCCTCCCTTTCTTTCCATTAAAATCCCTCCCCTCCCCTCCCCTCAGTTGAACCAAACATAGCCTAACTCTCTTTCCAAGTTCCAAGTCAGTCCCTCCCCACATTTTTTTTTCCTTTTAACTACCTACCCCCTAAGAGCAACTCCAACGGAGCTGCAAACGCAAAACGCAGTAGAGAAAATTGCTCCAATCGGTGCACAAACGGAAACACAAAATGCATTTTGGCCCCTTTCTCTCTCCTTCCGAATGCAAATATGCGTTTGCACTGTTCATAAACGCAAATTGTTTTGTGAATTGACTTTTGGCCCCAGAATGGATTTGAATTGTACTTTGGCCCATCTTAATATGATTTTTAAAAGATTGAATAGTTTAGATTTTAGTTTATTTATCAATAATTATATAATATATATTTCATTTAGTGTTTTTAATATTTTAGTTTACATGACATTATATTTATATATTTAATTTTTATTTGTTAATCTTTTTATTTCTTTAATATAAGCAATGTAAAAATTAGTGAAAGAAATATATTTTCTTTTTATTTTGCATCTATAAAGTTGATATTTTTTATTTGAAAGAACAATATATATATATATATATACATATATTATTTGTTTTTTTTTTTT